ATGTTTAAATATAACCTAAAAAAGGTGTCAGTGATGTTTTTGATAATAAAAGGGGTTTCTTTAAAATATAGCAAACTAGAAGGAGTNTAGTTTAATAGTAGAAAGTGTTACTGATGTTTAAATATAACCTAAAAAAGGTGTCAATGATGTTTTTGATAATAAAAGGGGTTTCTTTAAAATATAGCAAACTAGAAGGAGTGTAATTGAAATTTTGCCTTTTTATTTTTATTTTTATTTCAATGGGTGAAAATTATTTAGGAAGAATAAAGGAATGTTATGGCCGCAGTAGAAACGAACATGCTATGGATGTTGTCAATCCCAAGGTAGTTAACCAAAACCCGCATATCTTGTATTAAAAATTTGGAAATTTTTTTAGGGTTAAAATATAATAAATTTAACTTTAATGAATTAATAATTAATTGAAATAGTGGTAATACCAAAACAGAAAAAAAAAAAGGGGATGTTGTCGCGCATGTGGCTCGAGATAAGTGTGCGTGCGACTATGTGGGTCCAAATACAGTTAAAGGCCGGAGTAATGTTTGGACCGTTAATTGCGGGATTGAATGGGTCCCACTGCATGTTACGCTGTTCGTTGGTGCCTTCTAGTTGGCTTGCAATTTTTAGATATCCAATAGATGCTTTTGGTGGGTCCTCTGAAATTCTTCAAATCACAGCCGCTTGTTACGCCTCATCTTCCGATTGACTCTACATCAACAACCCCCCCTCTTGCTTGTGTTTTTTTTTTTTTTGGTGTAGACTCTTTTATTTTGAGGGGCTTCACTTTGGTATAGACTGAGAGTCTGAGATAACGAAATTCTTTATGTATTTAAATATAATATTTAGAGTCAAATAACTATAAAAAAAATATCAAATTTAATATTTAAGATCAATCATAAAAAAATATTAACTTTTAATATCAAGTATTAACTTTTGTTGCTTAAAACATGTTTTTAGATTTATTTATAATAAAAAAAATTATAATTTTTTAGGTCATATTATAACTTTTATGCTTTAAGTCACAACTTTTTCAGAGTTGTTTATAACTTTTGGAGGTCTTCGAGATCTATTATAATAATTTTGAGATCAATCCCAAGTAACTTAAAATTATAAACAATTCCAAAAAATTATAAACGTTTTTCAAAACTTATAAATAATTTCTAAAAATTATAAACAACCTTCAAATGGGGGTACTAATTTTTGTTAGTCTTCTCCACCAATGCAAGATAGTCTTGAAACATTCTGCTGGACATCATACAGAAGCATTTAAGACGACAAAGGATATTGGGTGAAGTAGGAAAAGTGTGGTCCGTTTTGATGCTTAAAAAATCTGAAAAATATTTGGAACTTGTCATCAGAAGGGGATTTCCAATTTACACAAGAGAGTGGTCCAAAAAAAAAAAAAAGAAAGAAATTTACACAAGAGGATCATTAAAGATAAACAAATTACACCACTTGCCCTTGATTCGCGCCCCGATGCTCCTCCATAAGTAGGCCACCTTCCTCCACCCATTTCCCTTATTCCCCACCTCCGCATTCTCTCTCTCTCTCTCTCTCTCTCTCTCTCCATAGAAAGGTGTGTTTGGTTTGTAAGTGAAAAAAAAAATGGGTATTGTGAGTGTGGCCTGCATTGCCTCCATTGTCTCACTATTGTCCCTTGTTGACGCTAGAGTCCCAGGAGTTTACACTGGAGGAGCCTGGGAAAGCGCTCACGCCACCTTCTATGGGGGCAGCGATGCCTCCGGCACAATGGGTACGTACCAAGTTCACTATCATTTCCACTGTCTTCAAACCCTATTCACCCGTATTTGATTTAGCGTAGTGCACAATACCGAGTGTTTTTGACATCCAGTTATTATATAAACCCGGATTAAAATATTTTAATCCTTACTGACTCTTTATACTCTTCATTATAGTGCAATCAAATGAGTCCATTAAGTCTATTTAGCATTTCCTAAGTCCTGTGGTTAGTTTTCATAGTCCAAAACAGAGCCATTTCTTCTGCATTTTCATAACAAACAGCATTCCTCTTGTAGCCTTCAAGCTGTGTGCATTCCTCATCCTTTGTAGTTTCTGGGTCGGGTTTCTCATGTCAAGTCCACATTTGCTTCTTACAACCCCATAGCCCTCCAAGAACCCACCACCATTTAGCCTATAACGAAGCCTAAAGCCCATTATGAGTCCTGTAACAATCTTCGCAAAATCCATCTATTTGCCTTTATTCTAAGTAAAATCCTATTTGTATAGTTACATTGCACAACCCAATTCTACAATTTTACCTCCTAGAAATCTAATTCTTCTACATACGTGCAGGTGGGGCTTGTGGATATGGTAACTTGTACAGCCAAGGCTACGGAGTAAACACTGCAGCGCTAAGCACAGCACTGTTCAACAATGGGCTAAGCTGCGGCGCATGCTTCGAGATCAAGTGTGCCAACGACCGCCAATGGTGCCACTCCGGCAGTCCATCAATCTTCGTCACCGCCACCAACTTCTGCCCTCCAAACTACGCACTCCCCAACGACGATGGTGGCTGGTGTAACCCTCCTCGCACCCACTTCGACCTCGCAATGCCCATGTTCCTTAAGATCGCCGAGTACCATGCCGGAATCGTCCCCGTCGCCTACCGCCGGTAACATTTATTTTCCTTCTTCCTTTTTTGTTCTGTTTAAAGCAGAACATGGTCAGCTTTGCTTGCGCAAACTAATTAAGTACAGCCAACGACACCGTTTTAAAGATATTTTAGGATTCAAAGTGTCATTTATACAACAAAATATATCGCGTGAGTTAGTTAAACCAAGGGACCCACTTAATGCCTTTACCCACTAAGAACGAGACACGTATGACAATCACAGCTTTACTTCACATGGTAACAAAACCCCATCCTCAAATGACCACACTGACCTTCACTTTTGCGACATATTCGCAGGGTGCCCTGCCGGAAGCAAGGAGGCATCAGGTTCACAATCAATGGGTTCCGCTACTTCAACCTGGTTCTAATCACCAACGTCGCGGGTGCAGGGGATATCGTGAACGTCTGGGTCAAGGGTTCCAAGACTGGTTGGATGAGCATGAGCCGAAACTGGGGTCAGAACTGGCAATCGAACGCCGTTCTCGTTGGACAGTCTCTCTCTTTCAGGATCAGAGCCAGTGACCGTCGCAGCTCCACCTCCTGGAACATAGTTCCGGCGGGTTGGCAGTTCGGTCAAACCTTCACCGGAAAGAACTTCAGGGTCTGAAAAGTCAAGGAATGAATTTCAAATTTCCCGCCTCAAATTGTTTCTGCTTTTAGCGCCATTGATAGAAGCTGTGTTGGTTCTTTTTGGCTGTGTACACTGTTCAGGTTGTTGGAGATTGTGAAAGTTACAAATTAGAGAGAGTGAGAGAGAGAGGGAAAATACTTTTTTGACTTTCTGGGGGTTTGGTTTGAGAAAGTAAGGTAATGCTGGGGCGGCTGCAGAAATATGTAGCCCGCAGCTTTTGAAAAATGTTACTATAATTTAAACAATGTTTGTTGTTGTAATCTATAGTTTGTTTGTTGGGAAATATATACACTTCTTTGGCTTTGTTTTTTAGGTTGTTTTTAATCTAGTACAGTTCTGTTGTGGATTAACTTGTAGTTAGGCCTCTCACATGGATCCGATTTTAATCAAGATTATATAGCCGAATATAAATTAAAAATTTTGAAATTCGTTGAACACACGAACTGGTATTGAAACATGAATTTTTAATCGAATTCGAATTTTAATAACTCTATCTGTGAAAACTTGAAATAATTGGTAGTTTGTTACACAAGTGTTTGAGAAAATTTATTCCACTCTTTTTTACAAGAAATTCATTCTAGTACCGGCAATTGCAATGTAAATTTTGAATTTGTACAATCACCTATAAAATATGAGAATTAAATCTTAAAGACACGAATTTAAAACTGGTAGATTTATGACTATAAACCAATCACCTAGGTTAATGTCTTTTAACCTTGTTTAGGTCATTTGTGGTGTTTTTCATTACCATTTTCTACTAAAATTGAGAAAAATATATGTGACGGGCACGATAGTTTTTATTCTAAAGTATATGTTTAAAAATTGGTTAATTGATGTGCTTAAATTGGTAAAAATTTAACACCACTTGTATTTCGTAATTTATAAACTTCAAAGGAACTCAATTTTTGAGCGTACAAACACAATCACTTGAACAATAAACAAAATTCATAATCTCAAGGGATTAGCCTAGTGATAGCTCAACCATCCGATAAACATCTTCACAGGCATAGATCAAGAATTTGAATATCGCATGAAACGTTCACCATCTTATGGCTACCGCCCATTGAAAGACACTTTGCACAAAGAACAACACTAATCCGGTGAATGAGCAAGATAAGTGATCTACTTGGATAATTGGGTTACCCAAAAAAAAGCAAAATTCAAGACACAGACTCGAGGATCACCATTGACTTTAGATGCACATGCAAAGCATAAGTATTANAGACTCGAGGATCACCATTGACTTTAGATGCACATGCAAAGCATAAGTATTATGTTAACCCAATTTCATCTGGCAAACATTCAATTTCCATCTACCGGTAATAATTCATGACTCTTAATTGGTGAAAATCCCAATGATAGACATGTTGAGTATGACCTCCATTCAATAAACTTAGAGGTCCTAGATGCAAGAAAGGGGTCACGTTAAGGATTTATGTAAATTATTACCCTATAAATGTGAGACAGGAAAGATAATTAGATGCCCAACAAGTCGAGACCCGCATAGATAAAGAGAAGAGTCGACTCTCCGGTGCATGAATGTGAAACTAAATTGATCAATTGGGTGAGTAATTCTGTGTTGACATGCAGTGGTAAGTTGTTTTCTTCATCTTTTCATCATTTCAAGAGACAATAATCTATGGATTCCTACTACTGGAAAAGGTCAAAAAAGCAGAGCTTTGTATACCTTGCACGAATATGTCATTCTTTACATCTTGAACATGTGTTCATTGGTAAATTTCCATAACATCATGCAGACAGAACGACAAAACAAAGTACCAAGGTGTAATCTATTAAAAGCATCGGATGACACAATACGAGGATTCCTGTATTAAGGAATCGATGAAGAGTTAAATCAACTGCCAAAACCCTCTAGTTTCTCCTCCTTTTGAGCACCCTCAACTGACTGAGTATGTATGATACTCCCTCCTTCAATGTTGCTTTTCTTCCTTCTTCATAATTCCAGAGCTCTGGTACCACATACCTACCACTGGGGTTGTACTCATTTATCTCCATCAAGGCAGCTATCACGGCCATGTAAACTTCATTACCGTTATCAGTCTTAGGATTTTTCAGGTTTTCATCCTCTTCATCAATTATTTCCTAAGCACCCCCAGTCAAATAAAACATGCACAAGGAAAACGATTTAACAGATTAGGAGGGGACGAGAAACAGAATCTGATTTATGAACAGAAATTGGTGTTAAGAGAAGAGGGACAGAAAATCCTAGGACAATTTCACCGCTAATACAGACCAGTCCACCGCCAACCAGGCTAAATGAATGAATGACCATCTAATATTACCATTATTATCACTTTGGCAGGGTAACAGAAGAAAGTACATTATACCGCCACAGAATATTAGAAGCCTCGTAGAGGAAAGGTAAGAAGAGATAAAAACAAGAGGCTAGAAAGGTGCAGTTTATATGCAAGTCATAACCAATTTCAAGTGAGCAACTCTTTCCAGCAAAAAATATGGTGGCTCAGCTTTTAATTTGTTTCTATTTTGGGGCACTTTTACTAATGAGGAGATACTTCCTCATCTCATCTTGTGGAGAATTAAGAAACTAAAATGTCTACTGGAAAAATAACGAGTTCTCCAAATATCAACTTAACAAGTTTTCCGCATGCCCCTATGTAGCTTTATCAAGCTAGTAGTTTGAGGAAAAATTGTCAATATGATACATTATTTGCAATGCATGAGTAATAAAAGTCCGTTGAAAGACAAGAAATGTTTGCTAATGTTACGTAGAATTGCATACCTTGTGCTTCTTCCCACCTGCAACCGCGACAACCTTAAAAGGGTGCCAGCTAGGATCCTAAGGTAGTCCTTCCATAATGAGCACATCTCCCAAGATTTCTCATCCACCTCATTTCCCAAGCATCTTCTCTTGGCAGCATCAAGGAATGGCTTCCTATCAAGTTCCCCCATTCTCTTTACACCAATCAAACCATGAGAAGACTGCCCCTTCAAGGCCTATAGGACCAGGTCATTTACCAAATCTTAGGTATAACTGCAAGATTAAAAGTGGTAAATTGCACAAATGATCCCTAAGGTTTGCCATTCGTCGCACTTTGATTCTTAAAATATTAATTTCGTCCCCAAAGTTCAAACATTGAGCTCATGTGGTCGTTACAAAAATTGATAAAAAAATACCATGTTCCATCGCTTGCATATTTTTAGAGGTATTTTTGGTATTTTACAAACACAGCAAAGGGCTGTGCAATTTACCAAATAATAACATAACCACAGTAAATTGTTTTGTAAGTCAACGATTCCATATATCAAAGTTGATCAGAGAAACAAATAGCATCAACATTGTTTTCATATCTCATTTACATGAATTACAAAAGTTCATAATTAGTAAAATGTTAATAGCCTTGCTAGCTCTAGCTGGATAAGTGAAATTTGTTCATCTTATGGAGAACAGACTAAGAGCCATTGACCACGATTTGCCAAGGAACAAAAATTTCTGGTAAGGGAAATATGTTCACCAGCAATATCACAAAATTAGCACGCACATCAAGTGAGAGGCAGCTAGATTCTAACGAGAGATGCCAGAGAACATTAAAAGATTATAGTGCACAGACAAATGGACACAAAGATGCACAAACAAAATATTGCTAGGGTAGTGTATTTATATTTGTATGGATGAGACCAACACAATCATCGAAGAATTGCCAAAAGTATTTTATGACAATCATAATTTCGCAAATGGCAATAGTAACTTTTGATGCATGAGTGTTAGCTCATTGTACTGTAAATGTAGGTTTGAAATGGTTTCTCACTACAACTTTAAGATGCATGTAGCCAGATACTAGGTTAACAAAGTAGTATCATTCTGCGTGATTTTTTCTTAAATTATCGAAATACAATTTGTGAAAATGAACTTTCTGCGAAAATTTACAGTGAAGCTGAATGTGATAGAGTTCATAGAAAGCTTGGAGAAGAAGACAGAGGCACACAGAGAAGGTAAGAGAAACAAATATTTTCCATTACATTTTCAGTTCAGAATACAAGTATTTATAGCCAATCTTGGTTACAATGCCAGCTAGGACTAACTAACTAACAGACTGTCTTGTAGGCAAGTAGCTTCAGCAACCGACTCCGATGCAATCACATGACGGTAGCTGATATGAGGGAAATACTTGTGTGTAGTGTTGGTATTGTATAATACATCCCCTCAAACTGATGGTGGGGGACCAACCAACAGTTTGTCCCTTAGAAGCAAAAAACGAGCAGAAGATAGTCCTTTGGTGAAGACATCAACCAATTGATCCTTGGTGGAGATTTACTGGACAGTTAGAGATTTATTTGCCACCTTCTCTCGAATGAAATGAAAGTTTATCTCTATATGCTTAGTTTTGGCATGAAACATGGGGTTAGAAGCAAGTGCTAAAGGTGAAATGTTGTCACACCAAAGAGTGGGAGTGTGAGATGGAGAAAGCTGCAGACTCTGTAAAAGTAGTTGCAACCATTTAAGCTCAGCAGTGGTTTGAACAAGTGCTCGAAATTCAGCCTCAGTAGAAGATCTAGATACAGTACTCTGTTTCTTTGTAGACCAATGAATGGGATTATCTCCAAGGAAAAGAAGATATCCTGTAGTAGACCTTCTGTCATTGGGATCTCCTGCCCAATCAACATCTGTAAAGACTGATAGAGTAAGAGAACTAGGTCTATAAGAGAGACCAAAATGAGAAGTACCCTTGAGATATCGCAGAATCCTATTGACTGCTGCAAAATGAACATCTGTAAAAGAGCTCATATATTGACAAACTTGATTAACTGAAAATGCAATATCTGGTCTAGTAAAAGTGAGATACTGTAAGGAACAAACAATGCTTCTGTATAAAGATGGATCAACCAGAGGAGAGCCATCAGTTTTGCCAAGTCTAGAAGAGGCAGCACAGGGAGTCTTGCATGGCTTGCAGTCAGTCATGTTGGCCTTTTGAAGAAGATCAGTAGTGTATTTTTGCTGACTAATGAACAATCTTGTGGCTGTGTGTTGAATTTTCAATCCAAGAAAGAAATGCAAAGGACCAAGATCTGTCATCTCAAAAGATTTATTAAGATTTGTCTTAAGAGAAGAAATATAGAGTGGATCATTACCAATGATGATTATGTCATCCACATAGAGCAAAAGAATAGTAAGAGATCCTTTAACAGTTCTAATAAAGAGAGAAGGATCAACAGGAGAAGCAGAAAAGGAGTAAGAAGAAAGATGAGTGGTAAATTTCTCAAACCAAGCTCTCAGAGCTTGTTTAAGCCCATAGAGAGATTTGTGCAATTTACAAACATAATGTGGAGTCAAAGGATCAAGAAATCCTGGAGGTTGAGTCATATAAACCTCTTCATGAAGATCTCCATACAAAAATGCATTTTTGACATCAAGTTGGTGTAAAAACCAATGGAACTAAGTAGCAAGAGCAAGAATAAGCTTAACTGTAGCATGTTTAACCACTGGACTGAAGGTTTCAAGATAATCAACGCCATGCTCTTGATGAAACCCTTTGGCCACCAACCTAGCTTTATACCTAGAAATTGTGCCATCATAATTGTGTTTGATTCTGAAAACTCATTTACAACCAATAGGAGAATGGTTAGAAGGAGGAACCAATATCCACGTTCCCTGTCTTTGTAAAGCAGAGAACTCTTCAAACATAGCCTGTCTCCACTCAAGAAATTTAGATGCAGAAGTAAAAGAGGTAAGTTCAGCAACTGAAGTGCCAAAAATGTAGGCTTTAGGTTTGAAAATACTAGATTTAGCTCTAGTTTGCATAGGATGAGTAGAAAGAGATTGGGGCAGAATTGGTGGAGGAGGATTTGGAGAAGAATTAGACATAATAGGACTAGAGGATATAGGAAAGGTAGAGGATGCAGATTCTGAATTAGAGGACAAAGATGTAGCAGAAAATAGAGGAGTTGATGTATAAGAAAGAAGAAAAGGAAGTAACTCAGGAGAAGGTATAGATGAAACAGAAAGGGGAGAATCCACAAGAGAAGAGTGAGAAGTACCAGTAGAAGTAGAGAGAGGAAACCAATGACTAGGATCAGGAGGAATATAAGAAGAAGAAGAAAATGATTTAGCAAAGGGAAATGTGGTTTCATCAAAGATAACATGTCTAGATGTATAAATTCTATTAGTTTGAGGATCAAGACACAAATAACCCTTATAATCAAAAGGATAACCAAGGAACACACACTGAGTAGTTTTAGGCTCAAGTTTATGACTAGAATAAGGCTTGAGCAGAGGATAACAAGCACAACCAAATATTTTGAGAGCAGAATAATCAGGAACTGTATTGTGCAGAAGTTCATAAGGGGATTTGTTGCCTGTGTTTCTGCTAGGCATTCTATTAATCAAATAAGCAGCAGCTGCAAAGGCATGAAACCAAAACTCATATGGCAAAGAAGCTCTAGCTAACAAAGTGAGAGCAGTCTCAATGATGTGACGATATTTCCTCTCAGCAATGGCATTTTGCTGAGGAGTGTAAGGACATGACTTGGTATGAAGAATGCCATGAGCACCAAGATAATTATGAAAAGAAGAACTAAGATATTCTCCACCCCCATCAGAGTGGAACACATTAATGCAATGTGATAACTGTTTTTCCCAAAGGGTTTAAACTTAGTAAACACAGAATAAGAATCAGATTTAAAAATCAATGGAAAAATCCAAGTAAATCTGCTATAGCTGTCAATAAAGGAGATGTAGTATTTAAAACCATGTAAAGATACATGAGGAGAAGGACCCCAGACATCACTGTGTACAGTATCAAGAGGGGTTGCAGACCTAGATGTAGAAATAGAAAATGGTAACTTGGCCATTTTGCCATACAAACAGTATTCACAGACACAAGCAGACCTAGAAGACTGAGAATGTGGTAACTTGGAAGTAGAAAGAATCTGATGTAAAATTGGATTTGCAGGATGTCCCAATCGATCATGCCAAGTGTGATGAGAAATTCTGGATCCAAGGTAAGCACAAGGAGAGGTAGAAGAGTGGTTGAGGCCATGAATATGATATAGACCATTATTACTCTTACCTTGGTAGAGAATTTGCCATGTGGCTTTGTCCTGAATAGAAAAAGAATTAGAATCAAACAAGAATTGACAATTGTTATCAGTGCAAAATTGTTTGACTGATAATAAATTGAAAGCAATAGAAGGTACCCTAAGAATGTTGGTGAGTTTGAAAGAATAAGGAGTATGAAGAAAGGTATGACCTGTATGTGTAATAGGTAGTTCATGACCATTGCCAATGGAAACTTTATCTTCTCCAAAGTAAGGAGAGGAAAGAGAAAGATCCTCAAGTTTTGAGGTTAGGTGATGTGAAGCACCAGTATCAGTGAGCCAGTAGCTAGGAGTGGAGGGACCAGTGGATGCAGTCATAGCAGAATACTGAGAAGAGAAGTCAGAAATAGCAGGCTGAGTATTGCAAGAAGAGCATTCAGAAGAAGCAGCCTTAGCATTGAAAGGAAGAGAAGGTGGAGGTGGAGCTTGATAGGCATTGTTCATGCGATGATAACAGTTGACAGTACTGTGACCAAACTTTCCACAGATTTGACAATAAATCTGAGGCTTCTGTGAGGCAGTATTAGATCGAAATTGTTGAGAATGAGATATATTCCCATAATTGTTTCTGCCTCCTTGATTTGAACCATGACCCCTATAACCAGAAAAAGCTATGCCTGAACCAGAATTGGAACGAGGATCATATGTTTTGCCTTGTGGAGCAGCCATAGCAGATGGATTGAAAAAGTTTGGGGATGATTTAGAAGATGCTAAAACAGAAATTTCTTCTGCCTTCAACAGAGAATGAAGATCCTCCAGAGAAAGAGGCTGAGATCTAGTTTGAATTGTTGTTCGAAAGGCACTATACTCAGGTGGTAAACCATTGAGTGTATACAATAATATATCCTCATCTTTAATTATTACCGAAACTACTTGAAGCTTATCTCTAGCCTCTTTAATTTTTTGCAAGTAAATATCAATGGAATCTAAACCTTTGGTGATAGTTTGAAGTAGAGACTTAAGTTGCAGAATATTAGCTCTGGATTGAGATGAAAATCTTTTTCCCAGTGCAAGTCATACATCTTGAGATGTAGTATAGCCAACAACATGTGCAATAACAAAGGAAGAGAGTGTGGCATTAACAAGCGTCATAAGAGCTTGATCTTGAATAATCCACTGCTGATATTGTGGATTGATCTTTGTAGTAACAGCTCCAGCCTCATCAAGTATATATTTAGATGGACAAGGAAATAATCCATCAAGAAAACCAAATAAAGAATGAGCCCGTAACAGAGCTGAAATCTGAAATTTCCAAGAGACATAATTGGAAGAATCAAACCGAAGAGAAATAAGATTGCAGATATTAGAGAGTAAGTAGATAGGTGAATGTGAGGAAAAAGAAACTGTAGTTGAAAGAGTAGATGAATAGGTAGAAAATGAAGAAGAATTAGTAGAAGCTACCATCAGATCAAACGTTTGTCTTTGAAGATGGCTCTGATACCATGATAGAGTTCATAGAAAGCTTGGAGAAGAAGACAGAGGCACACAGAGAAGGTAAGAGAAACAAATATTTTCCATTACATTTTCAGTTTAGAATAAATATTTATAGCCACTCCTGGTTACAACGCCAGCTAGGACTAACTAACTAACAGACTGTCTTGTAGGCAAGTGGCTTCAGCAACCGACTCCAATGCAGTCACATGACAGTAGCTGATATGAGGGAAATACTTGTGTGTAGTGCTGGTATTGTATAATAGAATAAACATTAGAGGTGGCATCATCGGTAAATAAATATCGTGAAAACAGATTTACAGAACAAGTCTTCGCCTCAGGCCTCTTTGCACATACAATTCCCAGGATGCACAGATTACCCTTTTTTGAGTAAGTACTTATCGAGCAATCTGCTCACTCATAACCTATACTTTCTCTTGCAAAAACTGCAAATTCTATTCTCATTTTCTTTTTGCATTGTTCTGGATGATAGCATTAGAGAAATACCCATTGCATGCTTTTTCTGGCATGCTATTTATATTACAAATGCAGTGCAATTTACCACCATGATTTGTTGTCACCAGACTGAGTAACATTGCTGGTCGTGTAATGCTGGTATGGAATATCAGAAATGATGACGAGGAAATTATCAACAAGAAAGCTCTGCCTTAGGTTGCCAACAAGTGACACCGACATTAGCTCTCACTAAGGCAACTTTGAGATTATCGCTTCTTTTCATTTTCTGTTTTCTGATCCCCTAAAGTCCCTAGACCAGGGTGGTGGTATAACCTCTAAAAGTGAGTAGGGTCAGATTGTATCATCTACATATTGAAAGCAACTTTAAGAAGGATAGACCAGCAAATGCAACATTATATTTAAAGCATAGTAGTTTATGACCAAAAAGGAATGTAAAAAAACAAAGAAAGACTACTTATTTATTCAAATGTCTGGTTCTTCAGCAAAAACCATTTTAAGAAAATGAAATTTTAGGGTTAACATATACTTAATGGTCTTCCATTTCTATAAACATCAAAGCCAGACCAAAACAATGAGAATTGAAAACTCACTGTGATTATCTCTTTACGAGCTTCTTGACATTCATCATCGCTTTTGCGCTCCTTGATAACAAGGGCTTGATTCAATTCTTCCAACCTTTCAAGTTCCTCTTCCAGACTTTCTATTACCATTTTCTTCTCAAGAGAGAGCTTCATTCCCTTCTTTACATTGTAAGCCTCTCGTTTCCCGCATTCTTTCTCACGCCGCTCAAGTTCTCTCTTTTGGGCTTCCAGGTGCAATGTAATTCTCTCCTGCACTTGGAAAATGTTCTCAAACTGATAACGTGCACCCTACAGCATCTTGCGCATCTCAGATGTACCTGTGAAGAAAATATTATCGAAAGGAGCCCCTAAATATTGTCACCACCTTACCACCACCACCACCACCCCCCCCTCCCGACCACGGTTGCCGCCATCATAATTGGTCGTCGTCACCGATCACAACCATCACCATCTCCCTCCACCACCACTGTCGTAACCATCGCTCATTCCATTACAATTAGTATTTAAATTTTTCTCTTCTATTGTAATTTAATTTTGGGCGTGAATACAAATATATTTATTGTTGACAATTTTTTTTATTATTTCATGTTTTCGGACACGAAAAATATCTAGTCATTAATAAAATATTATATATTTTTAATGGAACCAAAATTTAAAAATTAAGTGAATTGGGCCGGAACGCCTCTCAAGCTCCTCCCAGACCCAGTTAAGCTGATTTCTATTCTCAATCTATATAATAAAGTTCCATTGGTAAGCCAAAGCATTAAAGAATTTTACTATGTTCACTTCGAATGTTAAGCTCCAAGTTGATCTTACCAATAAATTTTCTTCCGCCATAAAAATACAGGTAAAAAGAACGAAGTAAACATTGGTGTCACACAAGAGTCACACCCATACAATTAAAGATACAAAAACTAACATATATACACTGAATCAAGCAAAGTTACGTCTAATGTTAGAGGCAATCTGGGCTTTCCTGAGATTACAAGATTTCCAAAATTAAACAAAAGAATCTTGCAATGGGAAGCTTTTGTGTTGTAGGCATTCAATGACGCATACTATTACTAAATAGCTATCTTATATTTACCAAGTTGAGGGAGTTGTTGATCAATTGTCAAACTCTATAGTTTCTCTTCCTTTTGAGCACCCCTCTGTTTGAGCACATACGATACTCCCTCCTTCAGAGTAGCTTCTCTCCCTTCGTTATAATTCCAGAGCTCCGATACAGCATACCTACTGCTGGGGTTGTACTTATTCACCTCCAGCAAGGCAGCAGCCATAGCCATGTAAGCTTTATTATCAAGATCATTCTTCAGAAATTTGAGTCTTGTGTCCTCTTCATCAATGATTTCCTAAGCACCACCAGTAACATACAGCACCCCCAGTCAAGTAAAACATACAAAAGATAAACCATTTAACAGATCTGAAGGAAGACAAGAAATAATATCAAATTTGTAAAAAGATATTGCAGTTGAGTGAAGAGGGACAGAAAAATCAAAGAAACTCCACCACTGTTTTTGGAGCACATTACTGTCAACCAGGCCACACGAATGAATGACAATTGTCCAATCACTTTGGCACGGTAACAGAACCAATTTGGTCCACTACTGCCTTAGAAGCCACATAGAAGAAAGGTAATAAGATCATTAAGAGGCCAAGCGACTCGACACTTGCAACTGATACGGAAATCATAAAACTAATTTGAATTAAATACTGCTTTCTAACGAAGAGATGCTGGCTCACAAGGGCGGAGCCACTCGTGCCTAAATTTCATTTTAGAGCAAAACTGTTCATATAGATTTCTGCATAGTATAGATTTGCCCCCACAAAAAAACTCATTCATTTAAATTTATTTCATAATTTCCCACATTTAGAATAGATTTCTTTACTCTCAATCAAATGAACTTAAATAATGTTTAGTTACTTCAACTCCTCAACATGTATTTCAAAAATTATTTTGAGTCTCGTGGTTCTCCCTCCTTATATCTAGCATTTTTGCTAATTGAATGGTAGCAATGAATTAAGTCTCTAAACTAGATCTAAGTAAATGTCGAAATTTTGTTGCTAAAATTTGCCCCCACTACGACAAATTTCTAGCTCCGCCCCCACTGGCTCAGCTTTTAATGTTTAAATTTTTTTTGCATCAATCTAATACTAAAGGAGATGCTTTCTCATTCATCTTTGCACAATTAAGAAGCTAAAAAATATCTACTAGAAAAACTAAATGTGTTCTCCGTATTTCAGGCTGTTTGTGCGCCCCTATTTAGCTCTATCAAGCTAGCAGTTCGAGGAAAGTTGTCGGAGCATTGACATGGAATGAATGACTAATTATTGTCTGTCCAAAAAGAAGGAATAATTGATAATATTCTGTAGAAAGGCATACCTTATGATCTTCACCACCTTCAACCGCAACAACTTTAAAAGGATGCCAGTGAGGATCCCGAAGGTAACTCTCCCATAATGAGCACAACTCCAAAGCTTTGTCATCCGCTATTTTATCTGGATATTTTCTCTTGGCAACATCCAGGAATGGCTTCTGATCAAGCTCTCCCATTCTCTTCACGCCAACCAACGACTGAGAAGGTTGCTGCTCCTTCAAGGCCTATAGGTCAAAGAAATAAGTTTGGTCACCAGATCACATAGATGAACCACACAGTAAAGAAAAATCACAAAATTGTTTTGCAGGCATATATTTCAGTATATTTTAGCTGAAATATCGTTTGCATGCATTCAAATTTTCATAATTAGCAAACAGCTAACAGTATAGCCAGCTCTAGCTGGATAAATTAAAGTAGTTCGTTTAAAAGATTAGGGGCCATTGACCATGATTTGTGAAGGAACAAACAAAAATGCAGGTAAAGGAGAGATGTTCAATTATTGCAGAAATAACATGGACATATGGTGAGAGGCATCCAGATTCTAACTAGAGAAGACAGTGAACATTATAAGACATTAAAGACCACAAAGACATACACACATCGATAATCAGACATCTTAATCTTGTACTATGTTTGTATTTCTATGAAAGATACCAATAAAATTTACCAAACCAATTGCCTCAAATTCAAGAGTGATATTTTATGACCTCCTTACTTTAACAAGAGGGGATATTGAGTTTTAGAAGCATTCCATTCACCTTTCTTCGTTTGTTCAATACTTATTAGAAAGTCGACATACAGTATTGTGAACTAGGTTGAAAATGATTTGTTAGATCATACATTTGTAATTGGCTAATTTCGTAGAGGTCATGTAAATCTCAACTTATTCCATGTTCATGATGCTACAAAGATGAAGATCCGAAAGCATTATTGAAAGAAGGAGATCATCCGTCAAAGCTACATCAAAAGCCTCCATATACACCTTCATGCTCAAGACAAGATAATGACCTAAAAATCTACGATGATCTCTTAATTTAAAAGATTTAGGAGGTTTAGTGTGAAAATAGAATCGGTATTAATCTTTGAATGGTTCCTAGATGATTTTCAAAGAAAAAATTTTCTAAACAATTTTGTAATTTGTAAACATAGTTTGAGTCATTGTCGAATTCCTCTTGAACTATGCCCTTTAGTACTCGGGAGAGAATTTTTTGACTTAGAGAAAAAATGAGGAAAAGACCAAATAGAGGAGCACTAACCCCCTTGAGGCCGCTCAAGTAGTTTGCTTCTCCTAGATCGGTTTGGAATTCATTTTTTAATCCAATGACCACCGCCTATGACCTCCATCTCGTCACTCGTGCAGTCGTTCACAAATTTAAATTTTCTTATTGACTAAGATTGCCCTTATTCCAAACCTATAAATAGGGAGTATATATTCCCTACCTACGGTATCTCTTTCGTGAGCAGAATTCTTACCTCTTACACCTTAGATATCACACCACAACCTTAGATCCCTAAACTCAAGGCTACCACCTTGTGATTCTTATACAATCTCACACCTTGGAGAAGAAGAACTTTGTTAGTTGAAACCAAATCCATTAGAGAGTGTTCATATTGTAAGCCTTAGGCGTGAAGCCTTGAAGATTGCTCGAGGCCTAAATGAACTGTGTAACAGGAGTTTAAGTAAAGTTATCCAAGACGTCGAAGAGGAACTTTCAGCTAAGAGATCTACTGAAGAAAAGTAGCATATAGCCACGTGGATTGGTTGAGATATAAGATTCAAGTACTTTTAGATTGACTTTGGATTGGTGATTAGGCTTTAGTGAACCCTAGAGAGGTTCTTTGCGGTTTTTTCCGAGAAGATTTCCGCACTAACAAATTACTTGTATTTACTCTTGTTGATTATTGTACACACTTACAATTTGATGCACACACGGACACTATGTGCTTGATGAATTGAATGTTTGAATCTAATATCACGTATAGTTTCTTGATTGGGTTTGGGTTGCCGTGGTTGAAATCGCCTTGATGAACAAATTGATAAAATCAATACACTAACCTACATGGAAGTTTTCAATTATGATGGTTAAAAAGGGGTTCTCATACTTAAACTTTTATATTATTGTGTAACAAGATAATTGTGGTAAAAATATAGGTTAAAATTGGTGATAATGTAAACTTAAATTGTAATTAAGCTATTCACCCTCCCTTCTAGGTCTAACGTGCGATTTATCATATATAATCAAGTGGAAAGATCCTTCACGTGAAGTGTTGTATTTTTCTCACATAATTTCTCATTAGAACTTATTCAGAGATACTCATTTAGCCCGATACTATGGTGTCAAAGTGGTACAGGTCTGTGATAGTTTTACCCAATCCTAATGTAGAAACAAATATCTATTCTTAAAAAGTGTATTGCATGCAATGAACTTCTAGAGAAACTTTCAAGTGAAGCTCATTGAGAATTAGACGTCGCTTCAGTGTCTTGATATTATAATAAGAGGTTTACATACTGTCTTTAACCCTTTGGTCTAGTTAGTTGCACAGACTAAGCAATTTGGCCAACAATATCATAGATTTTCAGTTAACAAAAACTAAATATAGTAGTGCAATATGCTTTCACATGTCTCCAGATGATAGCACTAAAAACTAGATGCTAGTGATGGCATACTATTAATTCTTGGCAGATGATGTGAAATTTACTGCTATGGTTTATAGTAACTAGAATTAGCTACATTGTTGGCTGTGCAATGCCAGCATGGAAGAATGCTGTAGAGCAAACTATATCTACAGGAAAGCTTCACTGCTCTGTCAGTTACGAACAAGTGAGACAAAAAAATCATTCACCAAGGTAACTAAGATCAGTTAATTCTTTTAAACATTATCTGTTAATTCTTTTAAACTTTTGTGTTCTGGACCCATTTAGTCCCTAGTCCAGGCTGGTGGTATAACATCTGAAATTGCGTAGAGATTAACAATAGGTCAAGTTACATCATCGTGTCAGAAGCTCATTTAACAATAATATACCAGCAAGAGCAACTTTATGTTTAAAGCAGATTTATTGTATAACCAAAAAGGAAGTTAAATTAGACTGTGACATCTTGAAGGTGAAACGTGCAGATGTCCCTCTAAAGCACAGATGTGCTATAACGCACAGAGCTTGGAAAATAGAGGAAGACTACTGTATTAAACCCTCTGAGAAAAGGAAACTCGCATTAATTAACTCATTACGAGCTTCTTGCAACTCTTGACAGCTTTTGTGCTCCTTAACAATAAGGACTTGATTCAATGCTTCCAGACCTTCAAGCTCCTCCTCCTTTTCCTCAAGATTCTGTTTAATAGTATGCAGAGTCTCCCTCATACGCTCTATTTCCAACTCCATTGCTTCCTTGGCTTCAAGTGTTTTTTCTAGCTCAACAATTTTCTTGAGCAGTTTTTCTGTTTCCCTCTAGCATTAATTTTATACACATTGATTAAATTATAGTACCTCTAGAAATCCATAACCACAACTGGTGCTTTTGGTATTTCCAGTCAAAGCAGAAAACAGATGTAATACCTTGTGATCTTCAGCCAAATTTAGAACATTCTCTTCTGCCTGCTTTTTCTCCAAGGTTGCTTTCTCATTCTAAAAGAACAGAACAAATCCTTTATCCAGACAAATACAACACTAGCAGATTCAAAGAGATAGCTAAAATGTATCTAAGAAACTGATAACAAATACTCTTTCTTTCGGTAAAAAAAAAAAAAGATAATTGGGGGTGCTCNTTCAAAGAGATAGCTAAAATGTATCTAAGAAACTGATAACAAATACTCTTTCTTTCGGTAAAAAAAAAAAAAGATAATTGGGGGTGCTCCTCCATCATGGAATTTAACAAAAATTCAAAGGAAGCAGCAGAGTACCGTTTGCTTCTCAAAATGGAGCATCCTTCTCTCCTTTTCATTGTCAGCCTCCCTTTTGCACAGTTCTTTCTCACGCTGCTCAAGTTCTCTCTTCTCATCTTCCAAGTGCAGTGTGATTCNATGGAGCATCCTTCTCTCCTTTTCATTGTCAGCCTCCCTTTTGCACAGTTCTTTCTCACGCTGCTCAAGTTCTCTCTTCTCATCTTCCAAGTGCAGTGTGATTCTTTCATGCTCCTTGGAAATCTTCCCAAGCTGATGATGTGCATTCTGCTGCATCCTTGCGTATCTCGTGTGTGAAAAAATGAAAAACTATTGTGAGGACAGTGTGATTGAAAGAAACCCCTAATGAGAAGGAAAATTCTATTACCAAATAGTTGGTCTTACAAAACCTTAGTTAAGCAGCAAAACAAAGGGGATGCAAATGCATACCTTTATTATAAGTTTTGTGCATCTCATCTTTTTGAGTCATCAACTTGGTTAGGGAAATGGAGATTTTATTATACTTGCATTCAATCTCTTTCAGATTTGACAATAGTTTGTTAGTTTTACGCTTCTCTTCAGCTTCAATTTCAGAAAAAATTTTCAAATCTCCAGTTTTTTGAAGATGACGACCTACAACTCCATTTGAATCAAAGTCATCACTACGANAGATTTGACAATAGTTTGTTAGTTTTACGCTTCTCTTCAGCTTCAATTTCAGAAAAAGTTTTCAAATCTCCAGTTTTTTGAAGATGACGACCTACAACTCCATTTGAATCAAAGTCATCACTGCAACCCATCCATATAAATCATCTCCAATGTTCTCTGCCGTATAATAATCCCTCTTTCCTTTATGGTTTGCCTCATAACTCTTCTCAAACATCAGTGCATTACTGAATCCAGAACAATCTCCGTTAAATTCCACCATTGCATAACCTGAATGACCCTTCTGGTTCAATAATGGATGAACCCATACAGGATTAAATCCCCTTTGAGTTAAATCTTCACTAAGCCTTGAACTACCTTCCCAAACATATTGGCCATCCTTCCACTCAGCATGTATCTTTGCTACAATTCCCATCCACGGCCAAACAAACAACTCATTTACATCACTGCCTTTAAGAGACTCAATAGTCTCCACTGTATATTGTGCTGAAGACCCCCTCGGACCAAAATCAATCCCTTTCTCTCTTAAACCCCGGCTCTGTGTGTCCTTTCCAACGCCAGATGTGTGTTTCAAAAGATCGTTGAGGTAATTCTCAAACTCTGATTCACTTATTGCAATTTCCTCTTCAGATGAGCACAACATTTTTCCAGAAAACCTGAAATTGAAAAGAATCCTCCATTGTCAAAAGCCAAGCAATGTATGTTCTCATAATAACCTCTGTTTGGTGAAGGGCACACAAAAATAAAAGAATTAAATACAGAACTCTGGATCATTTGAATGCCTATAAGCCTAAAGTTTGCAAACCTCGCCCAACCGTAGTAGTGTCATGCCCCCTGGAATGTAAATTTCATTTTCCCAGGTCATGTATAAATATTGGAAACATAAGAATTGAGACTGAGGATATAAGCATTCGAGACTGGGACATATGAAGACAAACTTTCATGAAATTAAATAAAACAGATTTGTTAAATATTGAAGGGTAAGAAATAACACTAAATGTGTGGTTCCAAAAGTAATAGAAGCAAAAATGACCTCCAAGCTCAAATTTATGATTCTGTGTCTCATGCCAATGAAGTCTCAGGGTAGGTATTCTTTGGCTTATCAAAAACTATTAGCAACTCATGTCAATTGAGTGGAAAATGCAAGCCTCAGTAAAATCATATCTGTTCTTCCCCAAAAAACCAATCACAGGACATACACATGAAGACATCTTCATAATACAGAATGGAACTAAACAACTTATAGCCAAATTTTGTTGATAATAATTTAAATTATTATTAAATAATGCAAGAACTGTCAGAAGATGAGAATACCAACTCAAGTTAAGCCCCTTGTTTGGTTCCCAAAAAACACAGAGAAAAAGCAAAGAAAATTGATGACATTAGTCTGGACAACCCCACCACCACCCAAAATATAAAATAAAGCACAACTCCCCAACAACCGAACACACACCAGTCTCAGTCTCCGTTGCATGCATGTACCATCTGTTAGCAAAAATAAGATTTCACTCAATTAGAAGACTTTGATCGTGTATTCACTGTCCTTAAGGAAATTATGTCCCACTATGTTACTGCTAGGTTTATGGCAAATTCCTCTACGATTAACAAAGCCAAACAGAATTTCAGATAGCAAAGTCTAAAATTCTCCCAAAAACAGAATAGAGAAACGTATATTCATATATATTTCAATTGAAAGATCTGTCCATGTATGTATAATACCTTATTGAGGAGACACAACTCTTGAGCCAAAGAGATGTAAAGAGGAGACACAATTCTTGGACGACATTTAGCAATTAATTAATACAAAAATAATTAATTATTTAAAGGTTTCAACCACAAGATGTCCCAAGTGCCCATCTTTTGACTTTAAATATTATTTGATTTAAATTTTAATCAAGGCTAATTGATTTAAAATATTTGGAGCTTCCTTCCAAATCTTTCCCCAATCCAAATTTATAAAATTTAGTGTGTTTCTCATTTTAAACACTTACATTCCCTTTCAACTTTTTCAATGTGGGATTCTATACATTACTAACTATCTCTAACACCATCTTCATATATCACAAACAAAGAAACAATGTCCGGGAAACGTATGTTCTTCCATTTTCTCTCTACTGCCCAACAATCAAACACCATATACATACATCATGGAAAGCCAAAAACAGAGTGTTTATAATGTGAACCAAACGTAACAAAAAGCAGAGCACACGAAGATTTATATACAGAGATTAGAAACCCACCTTTGAAACTTCAATGTACTGCTTTTGATCGGGAATAATGTTCAGAAAAATGCAAGATTTCACTGTAAAACTAGCAAAACTTCTATGGGCAGTGAGTGAACAAGGTGGGTTTGTAATGGTTCTGCAAATAAGTAGTGGTTCCGAAAAAGAAGCCGTCTCTCTGTCTGTCTCTATTGGTCTTCTTCATATTTCGTACAAGTTTGGTTACAGGGTATTTCAGTGGCACGTGTCGGGTGGAGTATAAGTAAGGATAAAAATTCGATTTTTAAATGAATCCGAAGGCAAAATTTTGTAATTAGGTATAAATTTTACGACACCATTTCTCAATTTTGAAATTTTACTATCATTCTATCGGTCTTTGTCGATTTACGGCCTAGGGTAAATTTTATTCACATATTTTTGTAAATAGACATAATTTCAACGACATAACCTATAAATAGAAATAACTTAAACGACATTCCCTATAAATAGACATATCATTAATAATACTCCCGATTTTAAAATTTCAATATATATTTTTTTAGTTATATTATATTAACTTTTTTTATATATTATATGAACATTTAGATTCATTAATTTAATATTTAATTTTATTAAATTAATGTCTTTTATTTAATTTAAATTAAATTAGCATTCTATCTTATCAAATCAACACAAATTAATATTCAATTTTATCAAATTAACATTTAATTGTATTAATTTAATATTTTATTTCATTAATTAATATTATTTCTTTAATTTAAAATTAAATTATTATTTAATTTTATTAAATCAACATCAAATTGATATTTAATTTTATTAAACTAAAATTTAATATATTAAATTCTATTAATTTAACATTTAACCTTATTAAATTAATTTCAATTATTTAATTTAATACCAAATTAACATTTAATTTTATTAAAGCAATATTTAAATTTATTCAATTAACATTAAATTTTATCAAATCAACACTGAATTAATATTTAATTTTATCAAATTAAAACCTAATTAATATTTAAATTTATCATATTAAGACCAAATTTTTTTTAATTAATATTAAATTTTATCAAATAATATTTAAATTTTATATATGAAGCACGATGCTGGAAGAATAGTCATGTGACGTTGTGAAAGACATACGATAGCAGAGAAGTTAGAAATTGATGGAATTTTGACATTAACTTTATCGATTGTAATTTTATTATACAAAAATTATTTTTAACTATAAAATAAATTTAAAACCCTGTAATTTATAGCAAACAACAAAAAATATACCACATAGGAAACTTAAGTAATATAAAAAATCAAAAAGTGTACTTCTTACCCAACAACTTATAAGAAAATGGACTTAATAACTTAAAAATCTAACAGGTATTTTGTATAACAAAAATTTTAAATTTGCATGAAAAAAAATTAAAACTATTTGCATGAAAAAAAAATTAAATAAATGTTTTTTAAAAAATATGCATGAAAAAATTTACAAATCTGCAAGAAAAAATATATATATTCTTTTATAAATTTAGATAGTGATCAATGACTACGGAGAACGATTTGAAAAATAATGACTGAATTCAGTCTCTTATGTCTTTCAGCAACCCCAAATTGTTTTAGACCTTTACAAACAACAAAATGTGTGGTATATATAGTGAAAAAAAAAGTTAAGAGGATTTTAGTATATTTACATAAGGAATAGTAGTTTTGATATTTTCAAAAAAATTATAGTCAAATCGTTACTTTTTTGTACTAACAGAGTTAAAAATTACCGTTAAGGGAGTGTCTTTGATTTGAAAGTATAAATCAAAAGATGATACAGTAAAGTTTCAGAATTGTGAAGGGATGTCGATAAAACTTTCCCGAATCCTAATTAAAGTATTTTGAGATTGAGATTTTTCAAAATTTTTCTATCAATGTTTGATATGTTCTAAAATTTTTCAGTACTTTAGTGTTTTGTAAATAAATTATCAAATTTTTTTATTTATTTCTATTTTATTTTTGATATATTTTCCAAAACAAATATGAAATCATCCTGTGTTTTTCAAGTGTTTGAAATAATGTATTAAGAGCAACTCCAAAAAAAGTTGCCCTTTTGGAGTGTCAAATCAATTATTTGTAATTTTGAATAATATTTTGGCATTCTTGAATTATAAATCTGTTTTAATGACAAGTGTCAAAATAAAGTGTTATTTTAATATTTTAATATTTTTTTATTATTGCCAAAATATTTTAATATATTTGAACGAGTATCCCCTTGGAGTTGCTCTTAAAAAATATAATTAAACATATTTGCAACCTCTCCCAAAGTTGTCAAAATTGCCACCTCAAGAGTATTAAATGTCATTTTTCTAACCCTTGATGTCACCTTCTGTTGGAGTGAAAAATTTTAAATTTAAAGTGGCATTTTAACAACTATAGGGTTGCCATCCTTGATGTCACCCTCTGTTGGAGTAAAAAATTTTAAATTTAGAGTGACATTTTTACAAGTATAGGGTTGCCAACCTTGATGGCACTCCTCCTTGGAGTTACTCTAACAAAATTTTGATCGAGTTTATTTGAGTTTGGATGGTGTTTTGGTAATTTTGTTTAAATTTCATTGGAAACAAAAAGGAAAGACTTCACCATCTATTATGAAATTTTGGTATTTCATAAGTAGAGTTCACTGCAAATTCGACTTGGGAATGGGAGAAAAAAAACTTCATTCAAATTCGAAGAGTAATCAAGTTGGACCATTGAGTTATCAAAATTTAATTCAAACTCAATCCAAAATTAATGAATTTAGTTCAACTCAAATTCTTAACCCAAGTTGTATTATTGGATAATCAAACTTTTATGCAACCATAGGACTTCTTGTGAGTTAACATTTCATCTCTTGTTGTACAATTAAATCAGTTCCCATAAATTTTTAAAATGGTTCATTGGTCAAATCTGTCATTTGTAAGTAAAAGGTCTCATGTTCGATATTTTTCATACCTCCTAGAAGTCAGTCACTCTTATTCCTCAATAGACATATCTTTAAACTAGTTCGAACTACGATAGCCGGTCTCATAGCACAAGAAAATAATAGCGCAAATCTGATACCCTGTAACAAATAAATAAATTCCCACAAGTTGTGCTGACCATGTTGGAAACTCGTCACTGCTTTAAGTAAAAGTGAACAGAGCATTTTAGATTGATTGTTTCCATTAAATGGGACTTACCTGTTCTATGGACCACGCTGCAAACTACGAGGACTTCCATCGGAAAAGTTGGCCCTTACAAGCTTAGAACGTGGTCCTAAAGTTAAAATAACAAATCATTCGTAATCAAGACATCGATGGGTTACTTAAAAGGAAGTATTCTTCTCTCAGCATCTCCGATATAACAAACCCCTAAAAGCCAATGAGCAGAATCTGAATTTTTTTCCCAGCATTACAACATATCCTCACATGGTAGCAAGCAGAAGAAGAATAATCGAAAATTATACCATTAGTTTTCAGAGCCACCCGCTGCATGATCATCCTCCAAATTTCCTTTTATTTTCTTTCAATAACATTGATTATCTTTTGTTTCTGGGAGAAACAATGGGAAAAGAATTAGAATACAACAGGTCTATAGTAATTACCATCAGGCTTGAAACTGTTCAATGAGTTTCAACAGGTTATAGGTCTCAGAATCAGGCCTAGACCCTCCTAGAATCATCCTTCTCAAAAGATTTGGGTCATAAATCTTGGCCTTAACATAAGCTTTAATCAAGGTATTATAAACAAAAGTGTGCCTAGTATAATTTGCTTTCTTCAACTCTTCAAACAACTTCTCAACATTTTCTACATCACCCCTCCCTGCAAAAATTTCAACTATTGAAAATGTAGTCTCTAGCCATGGGGTTGATTTCCTGACCCTGGTGCTTGTCGTCAGATCCATCCCCAAGTTCAGAGTTTTCAGAGCTTCCTTCATCAAACCCGCTTTCAAGCAACCCAACGCAAGATGTCTAATAGTTATGGCATTTGGTTTGCATTCACTGCTCTCCATTTCTCTATACAGTCCAGTGGCTTTACTAATAAGCCCATGTTTGCAGTAAACTGATATCACTGAGTTGAACTGATCAGTTGATTTCAACCCCTTTTTTGACTTCATTTCTGCCCAAATCTCTTCGGCTCGACTTAGCTCTCCAATCTTACCATATGCTTCTATTGCCAGAATAAAACTCTTAGACCTAATATGTGGAAGTTCTTGCACAATGCCCCAAGTTCGTTCTAGCTCCTTTTTCTTCCCCAAATATCCATACAGTATAACAAGGATATCTAATGTTGACCAGTTATTTCCCGTCATAGACTTCTCTACCTCTTCAACATAGGCCTCACACACAGTGTAAAACCGTGCCACAGCATGTGCATTGGCTAATATACAGTAAGATACCTCATTTGGCTCAACTTTTGCTCGCTTCATGTCACCAAACACCTTTACCAAGCCTTCAATGTTGTGTTCATTAGCTTCCATTTTCAAAAGAATGTTATAAGTGGAAACATGGGGTGCCACCCTATCAGCTTTCATTTGAGTGAGGATTTTTGGAATGATTTTCTTACGGCTAGGGGAGGAATGAAGAATAATGAGACGGTTGAAAGCCAAGTGCGAGATGGGATGACCCAGTTCTCTCATTTTCTTCATGTATGCATTGGAAAGGCTTATCATGCCCTTATCTAAGCATGCAATTACAAGATTGTTGTAGAGCAAATCCTTTTGAAACTTGGTTGGGATGTGAGAGAAGAGGCTCTCGCCTTGTGATACCCCATGAAGCTTAGTTGTGAATTCCAATAGATAGGAGTAGTCTAGTTCTTTTGGCCTATACGGCCTCTCCCTGATCACCCATTCCATCACCTGTCAGTAGCAACAATTGTGCAAACTCAAAATTTAAGTATCTAATTATGCATATTTCTTCGTAAAGGTGATTAAACAAATAAGGGGTTAATGCTGCTATTCCATATTTCAGATCTTGCTTTTTCCTATATAACCATGTAATGTAACTTATAGCAAGCAATTGGCAACACAATCCCATATAAATGTATAACTCAGAATCATGAAATGAAAAGTAAAGGCCATAACTCAAGTGTTGATTTACCAAAACAGGGTGTTGATAGGTGAGACGGGAATAAGGTTGGCACAATCTGCACAAGTGATTGCTTCCAGACTCAAAACCCACGTTCTCACACTTGGCAGTATAAGCATTTTACCATTGTACCAAACAATGGACCGTTTCGCTTATATTTACGCACTTGGGTTTATTTAACTGAAGCATTTAGACAAACAGGTAGTATGCATGTGTAAATGTCTCCAAACAGAGAAGAACCTGAAGCGCACGTTTGTTTGATTGGAGCTTCCTTAAACGGTTGATTATGTGGAAAATATGGCCTCTATGAATGGGGAAGCCATCACCCATCCAGCTCTGGAAGGCAGAGCCAACCGACTCTCCCTTTGGTAGCCTCTCGATCCTCCAACTTAAGCTCTTTGGTTCTTCTTCTTTTCTGTCTGATTCCGAACTGTTGTCGCACGAATTGATTGGTGTTTGGGTGCAATAGTGGAAAGCAGGATGACTTTGGTGGATAGCAAGTGTTCGACGTAAGGTTTGAAAGACCCTCCGTTGACACAGGAGGACTATGGTTTGCATGCTTCTCGTTGAGAGTCAAGGCATGAGACTGTCGTGGGCTTTTTACTTTGTTTCACTGATTGGGATATATTAATTTTTATCTGATCTAACGATCTTTCAACAGTGTCAAAACTTTCCGTACCATATTGTTTTTATATCTCTCAATTCTCTTTAACAATTCACAACTCAATATGATCAATCTAAGATCAATCCATCAAATTGAGATTGATCCCAACTAATTTTTACGAATGATAACATTTTTTTTCTAATAATTAGAATCAATAACATTGAGCTTATTGTATCGTTGCTTTGTTTGATATGAGTCCTCATCATCTACTACACCACATCTGTGCCGAGTTGTTAATATGTATATGCAATACCCAAATTTATAATTAATTATAGTATTGCCACCCTGCTTGTAACTTTATGTGACATAATATCACAGTTGCCTCGGATATTGACCCACACTGTGGATGGATCTCGCTTGGAATGTTCATAAACAACGCCTTATAGAGTGAATCATTCTGATGGAGTGTAATTTCCTTAATCTCATTCACCAACCCGGTCCAAAGGTGGTTCAAACCCCACCCCCACCACACACAAATGAACTCATCCTGTGATTCCACTGTTAAAAGGTATGCTGAAAACACTATACATCAACTCAGCTCAAGTCAACAAAACTTTATCGCAACAATTTGGAGAAATAGAATCAAATGCGGTGTGTGTGGATCGAACACGAGAATACACATATCTAACATCATATAGGTGCTTTAACTATAAAGTGAGACCTGCAACATGTGGGCGTCTTACAATATCATAGAGAGTAGATACTCTTGCATCCACTTAACCACACAGCTACCTTTTTATACCATCGGGGATAGTAAGGACGTGAAAAACCAAACAGGAGTCCGATATACATTCTGGAAATTGCATTCACTGCTCAAGGACCAAAATTCAAACTTTTGAAAACTGCGACATAATATTATCCAAGCCCTTGAATAGCAATGTTGAATTTTATCGTAATCTTGATGTTACTTGCGACTAGAGATGAAATGTGAGCACGACACACAACAAACATAGCCAACAAAAGCGAAAGGTCATATTTAGTAAGCAAATTGGATACTAACACAAACAAAAAATGCAGAACCTTTATCATGTGAATGATTTTCAGATTAGAAAAGGCGGTTTACAATCTTGTGTGGCCACTATATCTCTTCAACTAGAGAGGAAAATTCACAGCAAAGCCTCTTCCACAACATATTATTCTTGCAGAGATTTGTAAGGAAGATTGCCCACTATATTAAATATTACTCAGGCCATCCACGGTATGATGTTGATCTGCAAACATATTAATATCAAAACAACAGTGTCATCTCATCTGAAACTAAAAGGCCAAGGACTGATTTTTCAGTCATACACTCTGTTGCATTGGTTGACTAAATAATCCTCTTAGAAGCCCGTGTATACTAGTCAAAGATGTGCCTTGAAGGGAGCATTCTTCAGCTGTATGAAATCAGTGTATAAATAACAGCTTAGTCAAGCACAATACCATCTACATTGAGTCTGTACGATTCTCCACCATTAACAAGCATTCTAAGACCAGATTTTAGCTCTGATATCCCTTCCTCCAGAACTGCACAAACTGGAAAAATAGGAACACCGGACACCCTTCTTCTTAATTCTTCATACACTTCTTCAGCCCCTGCCTCGTCAATTTTATTTGCCACTACCAAGGACGGTCGATCTGACAGACCCTCGCGATAAAATTCAAGCTCCAAGATTAAATCTTTCAACTGTTCCCATGGTTGGATTCCTTTTCTACCATCCAATGCTGCAGCCAGGTCTAACACAAAAGCAAGAACTTTTGTGCGTTCTATGTGACGCAGAAAAGCATGTCCAAGTCCACGATTTCCATGAGCTCCCCTTATTAGTCCGGGAATGTCGGCCACCGTGAATGAGAAATCATCATAATTTAGATTTCCTAAATTTGGCCTCAAAGTTGTAAAGGCATAATGGCCTACTCTGGGCTTAGCCCTTGATATGGCACCTAGAAGAGTACTTTTCCCAGCATTTGGCATCCCCACAAGGCCCACATCAGCGATACTCTTGAGTTCTAACAGAAGAAGAACCTCAGAACCAGGCAAACCAGCACTAAGTGATGAATGTTGATCATCATTAGAAACTTCAGAACCAAAGCCTTTATCCTTTAGATTCCCAGGCTTCCCAAGGCTAGGCTTTTTAAAAGCTTTAGTGGAAGAAATATTCCCTGAGCCACCATCCCCTCCACAAGCAACAATTACNTTGCCGAGTTGTTAATATGTATATGCAATACCCAAATTTATAATTAATTATAGTATTGCCACCCTGCTTGTAACTTTATGTGACATAATATCACAGTTGCCTCGGATATTGACCCACACTGTGGATGGATCTCGCTTGGAATGTTCATAAACAACGCCTTATAGAGTGAATCATTCTGAGGGAGTGTAATTTCCTTAATCTCATTCACCAACCCTGGTCCAAAGGTGGTTCAAACCCCACCCCCACCACACACAAATGAACTCATCCTGTGATTCCACTGTTAAAAGGTATGCTGAAAACACTATACATCAACTCAGCTCAAGTCAACAAAACTTTATCGCAACAATTTGGAGAAATAGAATCAAATGCGGTGTGTGTGGATCGAACACGAGAATACACATATCTAACATCATATAGGTGCTTTAACTATAAAGTGAGACCTGCAACATGTGGGCGTCTTACAATATCATAGAGAGTAGATACTCTTGCATCCACTTAACCACACAGCTACCTTTTTATACCATCGGGGATAGTAAGGACGTGAAAAACCAAACAGGAGTCCGATATACATTCTGGAAATTGCATTCACTGCTCAAGGACCAAAATTCAAACTTTTGAAAACTGCGACATAATATTATCCAAGCCCTTGAATAGCAATGTTGAATTTTATCGTAATCTTGATGTTACTTGCGACTAGAGATGAAATGTGAGCACGACACACAACAAACATAGCCAACAAAAGCGAAAGGTCATATTTAGTAAGCAAATTGGATACTAACACAAACAAAAAATGCAGAACCTTTATCATGTGAATGATTTTCAGATTAGAAAAGGCGGTTTACAATCTTGTGTGGCCACTATATCTCTTCAACTAGAGAGGAAAATTCACAGCAAAGCCTCTTCCACAACATATTATTCTTGCAGAGATTTGTAAGGAAGATTGCCCACTATATTAAATATTACTCAGGCCATCCACGGTATGATGTTGATCTGCAAACATATTAATATCAAAACAACAGTGTCATCTCATCTGAAACTAAAAGGCCAAGGACTGATTTTTCAGTCATACACTCTGTTGCATTGGTTGACTAAATAATCCTCTTAGAAGCCCGTGTATACTAGTCAAAGATGTGCCTTGAAGGGAGCATTCTTCAGCTGTATGAAATCAGTGTATAAATAACAGCTTAGTCAAGCACAATACCATCTACATTGAGTCTGTACGATTCTCCACCATTAACAAGCATTCTAAGACCAGATTTTAGCTCTGATATCCCTTCCTCCAGAACTGCACAAACTGGAAAAATAGGAACACCGGACACCCTTCTTCTTAATTCTTCATACACTTCTTCAGCCCCTGCCTCGTCAATTTTATTTGCCACTACCAAGGACGGTCGATCTGACAGACCCTCGCGATAAAATTCAAGCTCCAAGATTAAATCTTTCAACTGTTCCCATGGTTGGATTCCTTTTCTACCATCCAATGCTGCAGCCAGGTCCAACACAAAAGCAAGAACTTTTGTGCGTTCTATGTGACGCAGAAAAGCATGTCCAAGTCCACGATTTCCATGAGCTCCCCTTATTAGTCCGGGAATGTCGGCCACCGTGAATGAGAAATCATCATAATTTAGATTTCCTAAATTTGGCCTCAAAGTTGTAAAGGCATAATGGCCTACTCTGGGCTTAGCCCTTGATATGGCACCTAGAAGAGTACTTTTCCCAGCATTTGGCATCCCCACAAGGCCCACATCAGCGATACTCTTGAGTTCTAACAGAAGAAGAACCTCAGAACCAGGCAAACCAGCACTAAGTGATGAATGTTGATCATCATTAGAAACTTCAGAACCAAAGCCTTTATCCTTTAGATTCCCAGGCTTCCCAAGGCTAGGCTTTTTAAAAGCTTTAGTGGAAGAAATATTCCCTGAGCCACCATCCCCTCCACAAGCAACAATTACGCGTTGATCTGGTTCTGTTAATTCTGCAATGTTATATTGTATGTGTTCCTTTTCTTCCATTTCTGCTTCAGAAATGCCATCATCAGCATCCAAAACTTCAGAAGTACCGTCATCAGTGTCCAGACCATCCCACTGACTTTGGCCTTCTTCATTCCCACATATAGCACCTTCTGCGTGAACTCTGGATTTTTCACCAGAAGGCAAAGTTTGAGGAAGTGATTCAATTGATGGAGCCCAAGTCCCTTGCTTTGTACTAGCAGAATCTGCCACAATTGCTTTACTGGTAAAAGATGATAAGCCGCCATTGATATCCACTGCCTTTATGCCAGTGGTGGTAGGTGGGAAGGATTGTCGAGCAGATTCAGATAGATCACCGTCGAGAGTACCAGGAATCTCCCATGGGTCCAGAGCTGCAGAGGAACTGTTCTCAACTACAGAAGGAATGTCACCCTCTAAAAGATGAATAACAGTGCCAACAGGTACTAGGACGACCTACCAGACATGTAATCTCTCATGAAAGAAGCATTCTAATTTAGTTTAGAGTCCAATTGTATAGAGATAACGGAAATCAGCAAGGTGTACAGAAAGCTAATAAAATGAAACCTTGTCAGCCCCTCGGGTTCCTATCTTGTTTTTGGAAGCTCCATGTCCCCCTCTCTTTGCATTCTGCAAAACACCATGAAAGTCACACCATCAATCCCAAAAATAAAAGGAAAAAAACAGTGAAGGGAAAGGAAAGGAAAGAAAAGAAAGGAGAAGGCAAAAATAAGAGGCCAATAAGGCAGGAGAAGAGGGAAGAGTTACACACAAGATGATGTTGCAGACCGCTAAAGTCCCACACCGTGGGAGAACATTCTAGTACTACGTCACCACCTCTCCCACCATTCCCACCTGCATTAATTCAATTCCAGAGATTGATGAGGGGGAACGAAAAAAGAAGAAGAAAGAAAGAACAATAAGATTTTTCTTATTTTCCTAAAGAATTTGTATGCCTTCCTGAACAAAATTGACGTTTATAAAGAAATTAAAGTACCAGATTAAGTCAAGTGTTATGAACCAAACCATTGATCCAAAAGCCCCGGGAGTAGTGGGGGCTTAGACTTGTGGAGGTTAGACTCATAACTATTTGAACATAACATTCCACTACACTATCCACTCTATCGACATTGGCCCATGACCCAACAGTAGCCTTTTCGGCTTCACTCACCTAACATTATCCAACGCGATAGCACTATGCCCAACCAGCCTATAGGTCTTCCATGACTCGAACTCATGACACCAATACCAATTGTTATGAACCAAACCGTTGATCCAAAAGCCCTAAGACTTGTGAGGGTTAGAGCTCATAACTATTTGAACATAAAATTAGTAGGCAGATTAAGTCATTCAACTGATAGAGAGCATAATTGCAAAGGAGTGGTATGTTATTTTAAAGAAAATCAAAGCTTTAAAGTAGACTGGAATGAAATCATGAAACTCAATTTCATGAGAGAGGAAAAAGAAGAGACTATTCGACCATATAATGGTCATAGTTGCTTGTATCAGAGAAACCCACCATCAGGTCGACCATGGCGATCGTGTCGGCTACGGTGAAAGCTGGAACAACCATTGCCCCCATCCCCTCCTTTCGCCCATAGCTTAAACCGATCTATCATTTTCCCCTCCTGTCATAGAAGAATCGAATAAACCATTCTGATTTCTGAGTGTGCGAAGTGCACAGAGAGAGGGAGAGAGTAAACCTGAAGGGGGGCGAGCTTTGATGTCTTGGAAGGAGGAGTGTGTGAAAATGAAAGGGTTTGGAGAAGCCATAGTGAATTTGGAATCTTCACAAAAGCCTCTGAAAAGGGTTGGACAAAGCATAGCCTCCTCATCTCTCCGCCGTTTAAACCCTTACCCACCCTCTATTTCTTAAGCTCTTCTTAGGTTCCACGAAATGAAACCATGTCCATGTTGATGAGAGAGAGGGCTCCTGTCTTGTATCGTCTTCCAATTCGAGACTTCTGTATCCTGTTCTCCATCTGAGGTGAGTGGCAATCACAATTTCACTATCAATTTGCGGGCCAGCTCAATAGCCCAACTGATGGCCCTACAGATCAATTTCTTGCCGCCCACCCAACCCAATAAGCCTGATGGGCTGACTTGTAAATGAGGTTCGACTAATAGGCCCACCCACAAATACTCCAGAAATAAAGTGTGCCAAATTTGATAAGGTGCTCACCACAAAAATATTCATTCTCATACCATTTTTTTTTATTATCTAATTATTAAGTTCATCATTTCTATACCTATCTATTAGTAACTAAATTTAATCTATGATATATACACCCCTTTAATAAATAAGAAAAGAAAACAAGAAAAAAAACTCTATCAAAACCAAAAAAAGAAAAGACGGAATCAAAAAAATTAAGGAAGAAATCTATCGCTAAAAAAATAATAAACAAAACAAGCTTTTTAATTCAAAAAGGCTATATCACAAAGCTAATTCACAAACAATACAAGCTTGCCAAACGAAATAAGTTGATTATTCAAGTTTCTAAATAATTCTTTGATTATAAATTGTGATTTTATTGTTTAATTCTGTGATTTGAATCAATTTACATTTAATTCTTGTCTAAAGTTAAGAATTAAGTCTTTAATTATTATTGTATAGAATTAAGAGGGAGTACCTGATGCTCTAGCATTTTTATTTTAATGTTTTAATTACTTAAATCAATATTCTCAACTTTTACACAAATTGTTTTCACAAGTTTATTATAGTATTTGTGTGATTGTTGCTATTTTACAATTCTCTAAGGGTTCGATCTCGATCTTCCGAGAAATATATTATTTCACTCAACCTATGCTTGGATTTACAATATTAAAGTTGATGCAGTGGCATTGATTGTTTTGTGCTATGTTGCCGTTGGTTCTGTCGATTCGGCATCTGTGTGATTTTCTTCGAGGAGGACGGCGGCAATGGAATTGATCTCAGCGGAGGACATATGGGAGGAGGCGGTGGAGTTGGCGGTGAAGGAAGCGTAAAAATTTAGAATGGACAGGCAACTAAAAATTCAACTAAGATCTTCCCTTCATAATATATAACAAAACACATTAAATTTTTAGTTTATTATCGGATAGTTAACTGTTAGGTAGTTCACTGTTATGATTTATATTATATTATATTTTTTTGTTTTTTTTCTCTTTTTTTACCTAGCACATAAAAAGTTAGAAAACATTAAAAATATGAATAATACTATTTAGAATTAAAAATTTAATCTCATTTGTTGATTTTATTTATTATAATTTTTGAATTAATTATGGGTCCTATCAAATATTAGAATTTATTCTTCATATAATATAATAGTTCCAATGAAATTATATTACTAAGTCAGTAAATAAGATCATATTTTTAAGAATAAATAATATTACCCTAAAAATATTAAGTATCATTTTGTGGTTTAACCATATGTTCCGTTTTTTTATTTTTTTTCTAAAAAA